AGAGTTCATTCAGAGACCAGCCTAGATAAGAATCTTCACTCACATGGCAAGAACAGCCCAATCACCTCTAAGTGTGCAGACTGTCCTTGGAGGCCACCCCTTATAAGCGGGTCATTCATGGTTCTACATCCAGCAGAGGAGGCCCACGTATGGGCACCTCCAGCCCAAAAGGGGGTTTGGGGCATCCTTCCTTCACCAAAGAGACTTACGACTCATTTTCAAAAACATTTCTCCATCTCCCACATTGCATCTACATGACAGGAGGAGGAAACGGCTTACCAATACGTCCTAGGCTGCCTCATCATCTGCCACAGCCAGATGTGAGTGAAAACTCCCCCATAAGTTAGACCTTATGTTCCTAAATATTTCATATGTTAAGTCAGCATGCTACCCTGCATCCTGGGTTAGCAGAATGTGCTCAAAAACCTGCTTTGTAAACTAGCAGGTGTGAGGCTCAGTAGGCTAGTACATTGGCAAAGAGACACCAGCTGTGATAGGAAGAATTCCCACATGGATCCTAAGAGTCTGACCTATACATATACACCCCATGAAATCCCTTCCCTGGAATGTGGAGCAGAAATATGCAGATAAATATGCAGATGAGGGATAGGTTAAGGATTTAATTAAGATGAATAGTGAGCTGACCTTGAGTTCATCAGAAAGGGCATTACCTTGAATGGTCCTGACTTAAGAGAACTTTTGCAAAAGACCCTCTTGCTGATCTCAGAGAAATAAGCTGTTTTCTTATGAGACCATGCATGGGAAAGGTTTTGGAGCAGAAACCCCACAGCAGGCTCTAGCTGTTGAGAAGAGGGACTGACTGACTGGAAAGAAAATCAGAACCTCAGTTATAAGGATACAAGTCTTCCGACCACTGTTTTAGGACAGAAGAGACCACAGGTCCAGCTGACAACTTGTTTATGTCCTTTTGGGCCTCCCAGAAGACTCAGCTAAACCATGCTCAGACATCCCAACTACAAAGGGGAGATGATAAACTCTCTATGTTGAGTTGATTATTACACAAAAATAGAACACTAACAAAGGTCCTTGGATTCCTAAGCACAGGTACTAGGAATACGAAAGTCTACAACAGTAGCAGGTAAAAAACAAAATAAGATGAAAAAGTACAAATCTTTGCAAACTTTGGTACATAGAGTGTCAGGGATGTTTCCCTCAGTGTATTCACCCAGGCTTTACTGACAGCACCACATGTAATAAAGTGCATTGCTTTTTATCAGCCTCTGAGGACATTCTCCAAACAACTTGGCAAAGACTTAGGAGAGTTGTGCTGGCTTCTGTCCTAAATTACTCTGCCCTTTGCTCAGCACTAGGTGCTCTGTGTCTCTTCCTGTGCCTTTAACATGAAGAAATTAAAATAATGACAACAACAAAACCCACATTGGAATTGTGTCCATAAAGAAAGAATTTTAACCTTAATATATTTCTTTAAATCTTTTGCTCAGGCTATGTATACATAAAATATATACAAATACTAGTAAGTACCACCTTTGCTTTGAGGATATTAGGTACCACCTCACTGAGGGTGAGGCTACATCCCTCTACATCAGGCTACAATTTGTCTTAGTAACCACATACGGAAAGAAGCATTCTGTCCCAATTTAGATAAGATGAGAAAATGTAGGTTAATGCACCATTATGTTTGAAATGGAAACTTCTTTATAGCTTCCAAAAAAGAAAATAAGTTTTCATCAGATAGTCTTTAGTGACAAATACTTCTATGTTAAAAACTAGATTTTTTTGTAAATATGTCCTTAAATGTTTTGTTGTTATATATTTCCTATAGTATTTATGATAATATTAATATACTTAAAGCCAACATTTATTCACAAAAGTTACAATGCACTAAACCTAGTTAATAAAAGTAGCTATATAAGCACAAACTATATGTTGGGTATAATAACAGTCATATGTGTCTGTGTGTTTTAAGTGAGAAGTGTTCGTCCATGTAATGAAACAAATAAACTCATTTTCCACCATAAGTGGGCTATATGGATTCAACAACTGAGGAGTATTTGGTCTCTGTCTCAGTGCACTGCAGTTAAATAAACTAGAAATGTTTCAATAAGTAAACTTCAGTTATAATTTTATATAAGTAATATTTGTTCCTAATAATGTTTACAAGTTATATATATAAAGATGAAAGAAAAGAAAATTTGATTGTGCTCATCAATATACCATCAATAAATAATTTAAAAAAACCTAACTTCTCTTCTGTTGTGCTGTCATACCATAAATTTGTAGGATGGGAATACATTTATTTTCCACTGAAGAGACTTTTAGATGATGCCCTGACTTCTTATAACATTTTTAATTTTGGTGGTAAATCAGTAAAAGTAATAAAAATCTGTGTACTGTTTAGGTTAGAACAGAAAAGTTTGCCAGGATAGTGTTTCTTTTTTATTTTTATTAAGATTGTTGAAAATAACAATAAAACCCACATGAACATGCTCATAAAACATACCTCAGAAATACAGTAGAAATGAACACAGTCAACACAATGAAATAGACTGAAACAGACTGAAATAGCAATATAAATTTTTCAGCAGAGTTTTTAATTACAGAGGTGACACATTTGATACTTTAAAACTTACATAAAACCTTATCTTTCAAAAGAAAATAAATTATTTTATGAATAGATCAAGAGAAAGAAGAATGTTTATAGGAAAAAGCTTCAAGGCTAGAACTATTTAATAAATTGTTTCAACAAGAAAACATGTCATAATAAGATTAAGTAAAACTTTGATTGGAAAAGTGATATTCTCACAATTCTAAATTCAGCAAATTCTGTGAGGGGGATTTACTTTAATTTCAAATTATTCAAGTCGTCCTGCATTAAAAAAAATTAAATGAGAAAATAACAATCTTTTAAAAGTAGAGTTTCTTGAGAGAAGATGTATTCATTAAATGTTGTAAACAAAATCTTGCCACTGTCAATGTCTATATTACTACTTGAGAATACTGTGATTTCATACACCCTGGAACCCTCAAGACTCTGAGAGCACAGATTAGGCATGGTCATCAAACAGGTTTGTGTGTGTGTGTGAGAGAGTGTGTGTGTGTGTGTGTTTGTGTGTGTGTGTGCCTGCATGTGTGTGCATGCTTCTGTGTGTGTGTGTGAGAGAAAGAGGCTCAATGTTGGTATATGATAAGCTTCTTAAATAAGAATTTAAAAATTTCTAACCTTCTCTTCTTTAAAAAGAATTGTAGAATAGTGATTCATACACATACATCTGTATCTCTCTACATGTGCGCTCATGCTCATCATGAGATTCAGAAAGGGGCCACATCCTCACACTACAGCCTTTTTGATTAGCACCTGAAATCCAGATGTCCTCTGTAGTGGTTCACAGGGTTCTTCTGAGATGATTTAGTATTCATTGTACTCCATTAAACTTTAAATGACAATGACATAAGCAAATCACCATTTTCTAATCACCTCACTGTCAAGACATGCACTCAGGACAGACATTTAGAGCACCTTGGTTTGGAATATTCAACTTTTAGAACCGCCATCTGTTCTGAACTGCTCTTCAGGGATCACAGAGCAGCCAGAGACAGCAGTGCTGTTGATTTTGATGGGGGTGGCGTTGGCAAGGACTTGAACTTGTCCTCAAATAATTTTTCTTATTGTCATCCAATAAAACAAATATCTAGCAACAGTGTCCAATTCACACATACTTCCTCACATCAAGTAATACAAAAAAAGAAAGAACTGATATTCTAAAGGTTATTTCAAAAGAACAACTACAAAAGAGTGAGCAAACAGCCACATTAGCCTTGATTACGCTGAATTTCAAAACCAAACATAATCAAAAAACATTTCACCTTTTTGGTAAGCAAAATGGGCCCAACTCTTCCAAAAACGTTAAAATCTTCTGTCCCACCCTAGTAGAGTTTGTGCATTCAGATTGCCCGAGTGGAAGTGGAAATACATGTTAAATTTCACACAGGCTACAAGAGATGCTCAGCCACAGTATAAAACAGAGACCCCTGAACTGCTGAGAAAGCTTTTAGAATGGATGAGTCTTGTATAACAGAAAGGGGACAAGAGCACGCAGAAGCTGCCTACAGTGAAGACGTGGGTATTCTGGTGGAACCTACAGCCAGCATTTGTTCAGGACAGAGGTAAAACCAATTGCAAGAGCCCTGGGCTCCAGCAGCAGAAGCTTGGAAGGAGAGAGGACCTGACCGTGGTCCTGAAAGATCCGTTACTAATTCCAGAAAGACACAGAACACCGTATCTTCACGCACATTTTCCCAGTCCAACCCACGAAGTCAGATATTCAATACTATCTATCTTCACAAAACTCTGAAACTTTCTCTGGGTTAGAGTAAGCCTTCACAATGTCCAACTCCTCCTTCCTCAAGTCTTTCCTCGAGTGTTGTCATTTCAGCACTAAGAGGAGAGATTCTGTCAAACTCTCAACACTCAGGAAGTCTAAGGACAGCTCGTACCTGTCCTGGAGAATTCTACTCAGATTTCTTAAACTCGAATTGGAAATCACAGAAGTCTGGGAAACCTCCAAACTCTAACCCAGGCAGACTAGGAACTCTAGAAAATAAAGTGCACACCACCTCGCCCTGCACCAAGCTACTCAACGGTCAGCACAGGTCCCACTGTGAATCGTCAATCATTTTACAGACCTGTGCTCCAGATCTAGGCAATCATGATATCCATCTACACCAGTGCCAAGTGCTTTCATGATGTGTGTGTGTGTGTGTGTGTGTGTGTGTGTGTGTGTGTGTGTGTGT